AAAAAAGAAAAAGAAAAAACACTCCAAGGTATGTATCTGCCATAATTTGCTTATATAGCTCCTGATAATGAATATTTGGGGGCTTTCCCCATTTTGGCTACTGCAAATAAAGAACCTCGTAAACATAAACTCCTATTCTGCTGAATAAGTATAATTGTGTTGTTTAAACTTAAGACAACTTTTTGTCTGAAGCAAACCAGAAGCTGAGGGATTAGACTGATTTAGCATCTTCTTTTATGTTAAGTGAGCAAAAGGAATCTTAACTAGAAAGCCTGGCTTATTAGGTAAGATCCACCCCAACCTGCATATGATACTCCAGAAACCACATTCAATGAGGAGAGACTCTTTCCTTTAAACATTACAAACAGGCAGTGTTCTGTCCATTTTCTGTTTCCATAACAAAACACCTCAGGCTGGGTACTTTATAAAGAAAAGAGGTCTATTTAGCTCACAGTCTTGGAGACTCAAAGTCCAAGATCTGGAGGCCCCATCTATTCCGCCTTTGTTGAAGGTTCCCTTTGTTGCACTACAACATGGCAGAGGGGCAAAAAGGGAAACAGCCACAGGCAGAGGAGGCCAAGCACATAACATAGTCTTACTTTATAAGAACTCAACTATTAGGAAAACTCACTCACTCCACAAGACCAACAACAATCACTTCTGAGATCAACACCTTCCTAAGTACTTAAATCACCTTCTACTGGGACTCATCCTTTAAAAGTTCCACCACCTTTCAACACTACAACATTGAGGACCAAGTGGTTAGCACACAAACCTCTGCAGAACAAAACATATTCAAAGTGTAACAGAAGGAGCAGCAATAAAGTTCACACATCTTTGTCCTGACCTCAGTCACAAGGCCTCCACTGCACACAAAAATACAGAAAAAGACATCCATACACACTTATATAATAGAGGGCTTTTCAATTACTTGCCCTCTAAGGTCTCCTCAAACAGACTCCACCTCACCAATGGATAGCTACCTGATAATTTATGTAACTTTCGGTGCATAATTCACTCCCCTAAGCACTAATTTCCCAGTATGTGATATAGGATAATTATGGCATCTATCCTAGTGTTATTTTGAAGATTAGATCTTGTGTGGCAGGTTGGCTTAGTGCATAACACACTTAAGTACACAAATATTAGCTATTATTAATATCACTGTATTTCCAAAGCTAGAGTATAGTCAGACTTTCATTTTCTATCTTCATAGCAAGGTGAAGATCAGTTTCCAAAATGAGTGTGTTCCACAATAAATTAATTCAGCAAGTATTCTGTAAACTAGAGTTCATAGCCAAGCAAGTTTTAGCTTAATTTTCTAAAAAACTGCAGAACATCTCAGTTGTTCATGCCAATGCACACTATTCCTGTCCCCATAGTGAAATCTAGCAATATAGCATTTCCAAAGTAATGACATTTACTATTTCCCTATTACAAAAATCTCATGTCTCTGGGGATCTAAAAAATACACTTTGGGAAATACTAGTTAAAAACAATGCTGACTATTCATATAAAACAAACAGCAGCCTCCAGAGGATGACATATGCTCTTCCCATTTCATTCAGTTAAATATTATCTATACTTCCAATCTCAGAAGAACCTTCCTAAACACTCCAAACTTAATCCTGCTATATACTCTTTGGCTCCTTAGACTTTTCTTTCATAATTCTTACTGCTATTGGTATTAGCATACTTGAAAGATTATTTGACTAATGTCTGTCACCTGTCCCACCAAATTATAAGCTTCAATTATGATAGTGACTGTGTATTTTACTTAACCCTATATCCCCAGCATCTAGTAGACTATGGCTGGTACCAGACACTAGATGTGGAATAAATGCATGGATACAAAAATTTCACTGCAACCTTTTAAAAGCCACAATAAAAAAATAAAAAGAACTCAAATGTTTATTAACAGAAAAGTAATTAAGTAAATTCCTGTTTATATTACATTATTCACCCATTAAAAACAAAGAACTTAATCTCCATGCTCTGATACACTCACTTTGCTATATGAGAAAGAAAACATACTTTATTGCATACACACTTAGATGTACACACTACAGATGTACATATTGTCTAGAAACACTCACAAGAAACTTAACAGCGATTAAACCTAAACAGGACTAGGGCTGGGGACAGCAATCTTCACTTTCATGATTTTTATACTTCTCTACTGTTTCCACATTCTTCAACAATCTTGAAGTTCTTTTCTAATTAAAATTTTTTAGGCTTTAAGCAACTACAGATCAAAATAAATTATCACTTGCTTTATGCTTAGTGCAGATTCATATCCCTATTTCTTTAAAAATTTTTGAAATGATCCTCACAGTGATCCTGAGAGGAAAGTAAGACAAAATATTTTAATAACCCAGAATTATAGATTAAAAGCTATAGGCAAATTGCCTGACATAACAAAACAAATGATAGACCTGGAGCTAAAAGGTCTTTTCTCTTAGTTCAAAATTCACTACGTATCATTATCTCTCCAGTAGAGGAAACAAGGCTAACTTGACAGAATTGACATTTTATTACCAAATTTAAGCGTATCCCCTTTTTCACCCTTCCCAACCACCACTTGCACACTGCTGACCAATGACCACGGCGGCAGGACCTTTTTAAAATAACTCCCGTGACAGAAGATTACAAAAGGCGATTGCTACTTTACTGTTAGATAATTTCCTCATAATAAGCCAAAATTTATCTTTCTTACTCTGACCCTTTGGTAGAAATTTGTTCATTTGAAGTGCCACAACAAAATTTCTCTCTTTTTCTAGAATATATTTAAGTATGAGAATGGGTGCTTTATCTGGATATACTTCTCCCCAAAAAACATCTATCATTACCCAACTTCTAATTTCAGTTAAGTCCTGACAAATCACTTGGCAGAGGAGAATAAAAGAGAAGTATCATGCACAACGTTTGAGTTCTTTTCAGTTTTTTTACTGTGCCTTTTAAAAGGTTGCAGTGAAATTTTTGTATCCATGCATTTATTCCACATCTAGTGTCTGGTACCAGTCACAGTCTACTAGATGCTGGGGATATAAGGTTAAATAAAATATACAATAGGTGTAACCTATTGATAATTGGCACAGTGTTGGAAAAATCTTTCCAAATATTGCTTATGATTTTCTTTCTGAAAATTTGCTCAATTTAAGTGGGAGAAAGGAGAAGTCCTTAGAGGATAATTTACGGAACTGTCTTACACTTCACCTTGTAAGTTATGAGGTAAAACTAATCACTTCTGACTTTAAAGGGAATTACCACAAATTTCTTACCAGTCCTGAGGTAGAGTCAGATGGTTCTGGAAAGTCTTAGCTTTAGACACAAGATTTTTGAGCCAACTATGTATATTATTTATTAGTTCTCTATTAGACAGTTGTTCCTTAGTAAAATATTTCTTGCTATTTTTGTTAGAACTTCCAATAACAAATAATCTGGTGGTCTGACCTACTGACAAATGAGACTTCTTCACAATTTTAAAGAGGAAAAGGAAATCAAAATCAAAATCCTTGTGACAAAACTGTAGACATTTTTTGGTATAGTGCAGCTTTTTCTTTTTTCTTTCTTATTTATTTTTATTTTTTTGGTACTGGGGATTGAACTCAGGGGAATTCATCCACTGAGCCACATCCCCAGTCCTTTTTTGTATTTAATTTAGAGACAGGGTCTCAATGAGTTGCTTAGTGCCTCACCAAGTTGCTGAGGCTGGCTTTGAACTCAGGATCCTCCTGCCTCAGCCTCCTGAGTCTCTGGAATTACAGGCTTGCACCACCACTCCTGGCTAATGCAGCTTTTTTATTCTGGTGTAACCTATTGATAATTGGCACAGTCTTGGAAAAATCTTTCCAAATACTGTTTATGATTTTCTTTCTGAAAATTTGCTCAATTTAAGTGGGAGAAAGAAGAGGACAATTTACTAAACTGTCTTACACTTCACCAATATGTATCACAATTTGTAATAACATATATCTTGTCTTAATTATTGCCCATATTATGCAGAAAACTCTTAAGTTCTATAAAGAGTCAACACTTGTGAATACTGCACAACCAAGAGCATAGGGCCTTGCACATGGAAGGTGCTCATTAAATATTTGTACAGTAAATGAAGAGGCAGAGGAAACAAAATAAGACTATAGGTTACTATAAACAGATGACTTTGTTTTCTCACTCAACTAATTACTTACTGAACACCTATTATGATCATTTAGTTTAGCATTACAACAATCCTTCCAGATTTCTCACTTGAGACAACATTAAAGCTCAGATAAACATTAAATAACTCAAGTCTCAAACCTAATACATTTGAATTCCAGTTTAAATATCAAAGTTTATCTGATGTAATGTTGGTCTCTAATATACCCTTGCTCTCCATAGGGCTAAAGGTGCAGGAAGAGAGAACCACAGTAAATTAGTAGTTACATACAACCCAATTTCTCTGGCTTATCGAAACAGTCTGAATTTTCTACCAGTTTACAGAAGTTCTGCTAAAGAAGTAAAAGACTTTATAATGACCAAAGGTACCAGTTTTACACAAATGAAATAATTTGCTCTTCAAAACAATCTTAAGAAAAAGAGAAATTTCCATCACGTTGGTGAGGACATTGAGGCTATTGCTTGCATAAACTTGGTGCAAATTTTGAAAGAGACACTCGTGCCATAATCCTTGTTTTCCTACCCCAAACGAGAAAGGATCCAGTTGGGAGCGTTCAACGACTCAGTTTTCTCATTGGCACCTTAGGTTTAACGAGGGTCCCGGTTCACTCTGTGCAATTAGTTAAGTGTGTCGATCGTGACATGTATTTACGAGGAGACAACATATCCAGGTCAAACAAAGGGCGTGGGAATAACATTTTAGAAAGGGCTGCACTGCAGCCAAGACTAACCCTGGGCTGCGGTCCACACTCGTTCTCGCCCACTGCACTGATTTCCTCACTTCCCCTCCAATAAATCACTTCTTCCTGGAGTCAGAGTTAGTACAACAGGCAGGTTCCTACCTTGGTCTGAGCACTCTTATCGAACTTGTCATTTTTGAAGCTAAATGTATTCTGATGCTTCTGGGGCCTGGAACGAGCCACGTTGCCCTTCTGGGAACTCATCCCCGAAACCACAACCACCTCAAGTATAGTGTACCTAAAAAGTTGCAGGGAAGACCAGAGAGCTTCCTCCCCAGGTGTTGACGCTTCTCTCGTGACCCGGAAGGAACTTATCCAGCCTTTCCGCCCCCAGTCGGCACACGTGACTCCCTGTCGTGGTGAAAGGACATCCTCTTGCCCTCCCAGCACTTGGTGCAGGAAACTCCACAAGGCTCAGCCTCTACCAGCGCCCCCGTCCCCTCCGCTCGCGCAACCCTTGCCTCTAACCCGGTGAACAAGTCCCACTTTCTTCGAAATGAGCATTCTCCCAGTGACCCGAATGCGGCAGTCCATCACGGCGGAGGGGAGGATTTCCTCTACTCCTATTGGCTCTTCCTTTCCGCAATCCCCGCCTCCTGCCGAATCCGTTCAGCCTCTCCGGAAGTCGGCTGCGCTACCGACTCTACTGAGCGGCTTGTGATTGGTGCAAATTGGGCGAGGAAGGGCTTCGTCCCTCCCCACACCCGATCGCAGCCTGGAGCCCGGGTCAGCTTGGCACCTTCCTCCAGTCAGTGACCAACTCTTGGTGTGGAAAGGGCTCGGCTACCCCCCTCCGTTCCTATCCAGTGTCTTTCCCGCTACTAGAGCAAGCCCAGCGCCTGGCGGGCTGAGTAGGAGAAAGAAAGGAGAATTGAAGAGAAGAAAGACCTGGCTGGGACTGGGTGTTGTCTACAGTGCCAGAAAAGGAGGCGGTGGCAGCGTTTGCGACCACGGCCGCTCGGGACGTGAGGCCCGAGAGCAGCCGGCGCCGGCGGCCGCCGCTCCAGCTCTTCGAGCCGGGGCCGTTAGTCAGCAGAACGCGAGCTTGTGTGGAGAAGAGCCGGCGCGAGGAGAGACTCGGGGCTCCCTCAGACCCCGCGGTCCTTCGTCCCGGCTCCGGGGACTGCAGCCCTCGTGCCCCCTCCTCGCCTGGGCCCGTCCGCGGACTGGGAGAGTCCGGTGGCCGGAGCGCGGGTCGCGCCTCGTGGAGGACAACGCGTCGCAGACGTTCTCTCCCGACCCCCTCTGCTCGGCATCTCGGCCGTGGCCGCCTCTGTGCAGGTGCGTGGGGCCGCGGATGGGACGCGCTGCGGCTGGGGCCGGGCTCGGGGAGGGGGCGCTAGGCCGGGAGCCGCAGCGCGGGAGGGACGGGCCGGGGCCGGCGGGGGAGGGGAGCGGGAGGCGTCTTTGTTGTTGGCGACCGAGATGCCTCTCCGCGCCGGCAAAGGCCGAAGAGCTACTCCGGGTCGGGTCGGTGTATTGAAGAGGACTCTGGTGTATTGGTGAAGGGGTAGGTGGGAGGGTCCTTGCGTTCCGCGGAGCTGCTGGAGTCTAGGGGTGAGGGAGAGACGGACGCCCTGGGAAGGTCTTGGGTCCTCCTCAGCGGGGAAGGGTCCTGTTTCACTTCCTTTGCTTTTCTCCTAGTGGACTGAAAGATGGGGTCAGGTTTACATTCCTCTCCTTCGCTCTCTGAGATTTGCGGGTGCTTAGCAGCTTTCTACTCAAGGTCCTCATCGTGCCAGCCTCGATTTTAGATTGAATCTGCGCCGAGCTTGGTGATTTGTGTATTCTGGCCGGGCCGTCGCAGGGTTCTTCTTTAGATAGTTGAACTTTCATCTGCTCTAGAATATGCTCATCAGGGATCAACTTTGAATTGGAAAATTAAGAGTTTGTGTTTGAAATTTTATTTTACCCCTGAAACAAGAAAGTTGTGGGTTGTATTGTGTGGAGGATGTTCGTAGAGAGGCTCTAATAGAACTCGGCTTCTTGTTTTTTTTTAAAAAAAAATGTTGATCCAGTGTGAGATTTCTGCCTTTGGCAGAACCAAATTCTTTGAACCTGATGCTTTAAATCAGTGTGGTAATCAAAAGGTGAATAACGGAATATAGAGAGGGTGACCTTTAAATTTTAGCTATTTAGTTTCTGAAAGGTATTCCTCTAACACTTTCTGTAACGTATAATGCTTGATCCATAAGATGATTCATTGGCTTTTTTAAGTATTCGGTAAATTGGATTTTGGATGTCTTGTGTCAGCATTTGAAACTACTACGTTTGGACTCTAAAGTTAGAACATGTAATAAAATTAATATGTTTACATTGACAGGAAGGTTTTCAATAATGGACTTTTCTCCATTAAGAATTAGTCTCTTCGTATGTTTATCTTAGGAACTTGGGTAATAGTCACAATCAAGACATTATTTTGATAATTACCAGGATTGCTAGTACTCAGTAATCTAAGACTGCCTAATTTCATGCTTGTTGGAGAAATTTTTTTGGAAGAAGTGGTAGTGGCCTTACTTCAGCGAAGTTAAGCGTGTTAAACTTCTAAAGATACAAATTCTTTTCTGTGTCATAATTGATAAATTATTTGAGATCCAGGAGGAAGTGAAAAGCTCTCTCACCCACATTTTGTCTTCTCTTTTCTCCTACTCTAGCATTAATAAGGTTAATTGGCAAGGATAGGATTAGATTTTCAGCAGTCTAGGTGGTTTTAATTTTGTCTCTTGTTGTTCAGTCCTCTAGTTGATATGTGTTTTGTTTCCTTGAGTATCTTTGCCCATTTTGAAATGTGTATGAAATGATAGTTGACAAAGAATGTTTTATTTCTTGGGACAATAACTATACAGCATCCTAACAATTTTTTTTTTTTTAGTTAGCTTTGTGAACACAGAACTAGGCAAGTGGTATCTGTTCCAAGTTCTGTTACTGAATTGGTATACAACTCCAGGCAGTGCTATCTCACATCTGAGTCAGTTTCTCCATCTGTAATATAGAGCTAATAAAATGTGCCACCTGCTCACTTTATAGAAAAGGCAATGAGAACTTTATAAGCAACAGTTACTCTAAGTGTACGACATTATATTCTGTTTAAAATTACCATCTGATGAACTCAAAATTTCTTCCATGTTAGTATTGGTGTCATATCCTTAGAATCAGTGATAACAAAAAAATAGTTCATTGACTTGATTGGTTTATTTGCTGATAGATTTTATTTCTTGTCTAACCAAGGTTTTTCTTTTAATTCTCAGAATTACTCCCACTTTTCCTACTCTCACATACATTGCACTGTTTGTCTCTGAAACCCAATCTTCTGAGGTGGAGTGGAAAAGTGGTTTTATGGCTTTTTTAAATTTTATTTTTTAGAGGTGAAACGAGTAAAAACTAAAGAAAAGAATTACTTGAATTTCCTAAAGCTAAACAATTAATGAGATGCAGAATTGAGACTTGAATGTGTGTCTTCTGACCTTTAGTCCTGAATGCTAGCGTTAGAGCAGTGTTTTCGCAACACATATAGGCCCAACATTTTCAATCCAGGTGAACTGAGAAATAATATAGCAATATAACTATTGATGACCCACAATATAGTGATTCTCCATTTACCTATCACTCAATTGAAGAAATAAAGCTACAAATCAAAATGAGACAATTTACCTTGTAAATCCTCTTAAATTCTATTCTCTTCACCTCAGCCACTAACTTAATTAACATCCATCCTTTCTATCTACTTGTTTATACTTAACTATCTACTTTTATATTCCAGAACACTACTTTGTTTTTGATTGTTTTAAAATGATTTAGGCTGAGTGTGGTGGTATACGCCTATAGCTTCAGCATTCAGGAGGCTAAGGCAGAAAATCAGTTAAGGATTTTGACCAGCCTGGATAACATAGATCCAATCTCAAAACAACAACAACAAAAAAACTATTTAAATATAATGTTTATATCTTTATGTAGTTTGCTTTTTTGTCATTAGGCCAGGATTTATTTTTTTATTCAGATAGCTCTAGTATATTTTTATTGCTAATATGGTATGTACTCCATTATGTGACTATACCAGCTTTCTGTAGTTGATCATTTTAGTTGCTTCTCAATTGTTTGCTATTCAAGAATTAAGGAATATTCTTGTATACAGTCATGTACCACATAATATTTTGGTCAATAATGGACAGCAAACTCAATAGTGATCTCATAAAATTGAATCACCTAGTGACATCTTAGCGATGTTTTAAGTATATGCTGACATTCTCACAACAATGAAATTACCTAATAATACTTTTCCCAAACTATCTCTTTATATTTTTGACCCTACATCTAATTTTATCAAGTATTTTTAGTTATAGATGGACACAATACCTTTTGTTTATTTTTTTATGTGGTGCTGGGTATCAAACCCAGTCTCTCAAGTGTTATACCAACAATGTCCTCTCTAACATATTAGCAGTTAATTACAATACATTAGTATGTATTTCACTGTGCAAATGCTTCGTTCAGTTCAACTATACTCAAGTTTTAGCTGTGTGATGCTAAGACCTGACAACCTGTTAGAAAAGTAGAATCTCAGATCCTATGCTGCTGATTCAGGTGCTGTAGGTTAATAAGATTCTCAGGTCATTTGTGTATGCATTAAATTAGAAGCACTACTAGAAGAAGTTTTGGGTACTTTGCATCAATGGATAGTAACACTGTCAATACAGCAGCTACCAGTGCATATTTTAGTTGTTATATTGAATTGGACATTCAGATACCAAAAGCAGCACTGTTGGTGAAAAATGATTTTCTAAAACTATTTTCAGTAAAGTTGAATCAAAGAAAGTGAATCTTTTTAACACAGTAATTGAATTCTTTAAAATCATCACCTGTATTAAAGCAATGTTGGTTGCAAGTCCTGTTGAGAAATATCTGACTTTAGGGTTCTTGTTGTTTTTCCTCTCCCTCAACCCCTCTCTGAAAGTCTGTAGAACAGTTAAAAGTCATGGGACACAGAGTAACATCTTTATGCAAGAAGAGTGCCTGGCTCTTTGACTTCTAATTTTGTAGTACCCCTATTCATTAAAACAACCAGAAAGCTGTAATTGAGAAAGATGACTCTGGAATATAAATCTGGTAGTCGTCTGTTAAACACCAGGTATGAGCTAATTCCACTTTTTAAGATAACTGCCAGTTTTCTCTCCAAAGTGATTGTGGACAAGAGATGTGTTCTCTGCCTTACAAATACTTCAGGCCTAACTTTTGCCATTTTAAGGAGTATGAAATGGCACATGGTGGCAGTTTTTATTTATTTATTTTTTTTAATTTTTCAAAAAAAATATTTAGTTTTTGGCGGACACAACATCTTTGTTGGTATGTGGTGCTGAGGATCGAACCTGGGCGGCATGCATGCAAGGCGAGTGTGTGCTACCGCTTGAGCCACATCCCCAGCCCATCATGGCAGTTTTTATTTGCATCACCCAATAACTTGTGTAGTTGCTAAAACTT